GGAGAAGCAATAGATAAAGCGATAAAAATATTTTTTTTTTTATTAAAATTTATAAGAAAAAAAATAGTTGAAAAACCGATATTGAGTAAGCCCGATATTGTAAGCGCACAAAATTAAAACTATAATATTTAATAATTCATTCATTAATAAGCTTAATTCATCAATAAGTTGAAAGCACACATAATAGGGACAGCCTCAGGCTTAGTATAAGACGTGCATTATAATCAAGATAACCGTTAATTTCCTTGTAATATCTGAATGATATTTCTTTTACGCCTTAATGCGCAATGTAGTAGCAACCATAAATTCGCCACAATAACGGATCTACGAAATCACTCCGCCGTTGTCGTGTCAACAAGGGATGGCCGGAGGGTTCCTTGGAGAGCTAGAGCCATTAACGGAATACCGAAATTCCATCGAAAACTTCGGCGCCACTAACTCGCTCGATTATGAATGAGTTCCTCGTTTCGTCTCCCGCTGGACAAGAAGCGATGAATTTCCCGCTTGCCCGCAGGAGCCGGTATAACCATACGTAACACCATCCCCTCACGTAGTTCCAAACTGTCGCGCGTTTCCGCGCGGCGGGACAATGATACGTTAATCCAGTCGGTACACGACTGGAGAAACCGGAGAAATCGTCTCGGATTATCCACGCGAACCATTTGCAAATGCGTTTTATGTAACGAACTGCCCACCGCGAATTTTTGCAATGCAAATGCGTTAACGTCGAGATTTCCGCGCGACGTTCTGGTTAGTGAAATGATGCGCTACGGAGTCCCTCCCTGTTCCCGTCCCTGTTCCCCATGAATATTCCTGGTAATTTCAATTATACAATCGTACTCATGACTTCCTTCAAGCAGCAATACGAGACTATAGACCGCAAAATTTTTCCGCTCTATTAATCTGACATTCGTTCGCTCCGATGCACGATATCGTGAGAAAGGATAATTATACAGTGCAACTTGAGGAAGGAAATCATGTAATTTGAACGATTTAAATTAAAAGAAAATTGCTGTGCATATTTATCAATTTTTTTTAAATCTTTCTTGCGTTATAAAGTAGTTGTCATGTATGTGAAAATTATAAAAAGTATACGATATCAATGATGCATGTTAACTACAATACTTACACGCTAAATCAATTTCTTCATTTTTTTCCTAACAATAAAAATTTCATAAATAATTTTTCCTCTCAGGTTTTTAATTTCAAAAAATATGAGCAGCACGCTGTTCATTATATACAATTCATTCGTATTATTGGCTAAATAATTGTTCACGGCATGCATTGTTAAAATTACGCTGAATAATTTAAAGCGAAATTTTTAAATTATAGCAATATATCACAACGTTATAAAAATTGTAAATTTATGTCGGGATGGGCGTATGTAATTTTTATATTTGCAAGACAGGAGAACTTTTATATTTGCAAAGTAAGATCATAGGGAATTACGAGCGAGCTTTAGAATAACCTGACGTGATTTGCATTCTTTACGATCGTCATACAAGCAACGAAAAATTTTCTTTTTTAACAACGGTATGTTTTAGTATGATATTAAAGCGATGTACTCTACAGGCAAATGTATGCACATTGATCATCAAATGCATTTTTTATAGATATGTATACTTTGGCTAACATTTTTTTAAATAGTAGCAAAATAAGAAATAAACACATCTAAATTTAAAGAGTTTTTTTTAAGGCTAACAAATATTTAAACCAGCTGCGCACGTAAAGATAAAAAAATAAACGTTTATTTCGAATTAACTCAACGATAAAACCACAATGCATTTGCTTGGCAACCATAAATTTTATTCCTTTTTTTTTTAAACCTCCGGCTAGTCAACCACGTAGCAATAAAAGCAAAGGCAATTTCGTCGCGAAAATTAATTTAGCATTCGTCGCGATGTTTCCAGAAGCAGAAGTTGTGCCGAGGAAATCCGCAATACTCTTTAATTTTAATTACTACTATAAACGTTGACAACGGACGATTCTCAACAATATACTGAAATTTAGAGTTTTCATTTTTAAATCAAAATTACATAAAAGCATCAAGTTTCATATTTATTATTGATTTGTAAAATTTATTAGTTGTGTTATAATTCAGTGAATTAACTTGCATCTGTTTTCAATAATACATATTTACTGGTGCATAAAAAAGACATAATCTAAAATGGCTATTTCCACACACAATAAAATATCACGCAGATATCGGTACGATGTATGATCGAAGAATGTTTAATTGCGACGACTATTTAATATCATGTCATTAACTGAGCGAGAAGCTACTATTGTATCAACCTACCTGTGCACCGCCATAATAACTCGACGGACTAACGAACCGACACTAACGCAGATCTAAAAAGCGCGCTGAACTTCGTTGCCTTCATTGCCTTCAAGGGAGTAAAAGTTCTACTCGCGAGTCCGTAGAGAAAAATATAAAATGGACCGGAGGCGAAAGAAGCGAAGGGTTGAGGGTAAAGAAGAAAGGACGATGGTGGATCCGTCTCCTGGCGTATCCGATCTCGTGAATTTCGGAGTAAATCGCCGAGGAATCCCAAGCAATATACCGTCAAGAGATGGAAAAGTGATGCTGCTGCAAATATATATTTCGTTTGTCTCTGATGTCTATCATGTAGAAGAATGAAGTGCGACTGATATAATCGAAAAGTCGTCAAATATTAAAACTTTCATTTCTGGAATCTTTATATACATACGTGCCGTGCATATATAATATGCATCTTAATAGTAACTTGTGTAAAAAAATGTATAAAAAATGTATTTTAATAGATGATAAAGAACATAATTATAAATAACTACACTATTCGATAGAAAATTTTAATGAAGATAAATAGATAAAAATGTAATAAAAATTAATATTCATTTTTAATGTAACATAATTAATGAGGTTAAACAAATTTTTATCCTAATTCTCATTAATTTCATCCAACTCTACTTGAAAATGTATTCATACGTAATATTAGTATATAATTACAACTTGATATTTCCATAACTTGATATTTCGTTACATAATACAACCTAATTATTCTCTTTGTTAGCACGCACATGTAATGTATCATACAAAAGTATCTATTTCCTCGATAGTAAATAGAAATCAATCCCACATTGGTCAATTATGTATTTACTTCGTGTAAGTTGGCGTATATTTTCCAATGCGAGAACTTTGCGGGAAAATATCCGAACCACGAAGAGCGCATCTGTAAAACTTGGAGCGGGATTTGTGCCAGCTGATTATGCCAACGGAATCATATCTCCTCGTTGCCAGCCGTGGCTCTTTAAATTCGGATCGCAAAGTTTCGACATGACGCGCTGTCCGTCAGCTAAAACTTTTTATTCCCATTGGCTACTGTACTATTATTTGTTAAAGCAACTACGAGGAAGAGCGATATTAATGTCGTATGAATAGTATCATCGTACCTATACGATGATAAGCTTTCTACGAGAGACTATATTTTTCATCTTAACAACACGTCGTAAAAGTGAACGTAACGGAATACATTATGATGTTATTTATCGTGAATTTAATCATATATTAACAGGCGAGGCGTTTAACATGAACCGTGATCTACTGAAAAAATAATTATCGTCTAGTCTTTTAATAGCGTATTAATAAATAAAACGTTTAACGTAAACTGCGATCTAATTAAGACACAATTAATTAATAACGTTCCCATTAAGTTAACGTTCCCGCAACCGCAAATTTTCGCACACATATCTCGAGAAATCTTGCCAAAACCTTGAAAAGCGTTGGCCAAAATAAATTAGATTTCCTAACTTGCTCATTAATCTACAGTAATTAATATACGTAGTGACGTTATAACACGATAAAAATTTTTAACAGAGCTAACTATAAGTAATTTTATCTAACGGGATAAAATGTCCTTCTCAGTCAATTGACACGTATTCAGTCTGACAAGTTTAAAGCCTGTTTGCTGACACAAGTAAATAAAATTCATTGATTTGAGGAGTTCAAATCTTATCAAGAATTCGAACTCATCTTGACGAGATGTTTAGCTTTCGGAAAGGAGATGTCTACGAAGGTACTCAACTTCGAGTGGCAAACAGGCATAATGTGCAACATTCGACATCGTCTTCCACTTCTTCGACTAACTTCCCTTCGCGCACTTTGTATGCGTCACGACGACTTCGATATATATCAAAGAAGAGATAGACATACCAACGACGAAGCGTGACGAGAGCGTGAAACATCAGGCTCTTATCACATGCGCGAGCGAGTATAATGTGTTTCTTCAATCTCTTTTTATGTTTTCTTTTGATGTCATGAATAGAGCAACGTACATAGATTTACACAGTTGGAAAATTTGTATTAAATTTAACACATTTCACGTGTCCCAAATTTGAATTTAACACTAGATGAATATGAATGTTACAAAGTAAAAGATATTATGTAAAAAAATTAAATGTGTAAAAATTTAACTATGTAAAAACATAGTTTTTCAGTATAATTAACATTTCTAATATGTTAAATTAACACATATTTCATTCACCTTAGAATTTACATTTTAAGACACATTAGTTTTATGTTACATTATTTTTATATTTAAGTATAAATTATGTTATTTTGACACTAAGAAATGTTGAATATCACAATTTAACATGACATTTTTAAGCAATATAATATTATGTTAAATTAACACTCAAATATGTTAAAAATTCAACGCAAAGTTTTAACAAGGACGTAAATGGACTGTTTCCAACACAAATATAAAATATTTTTATTATGTACACACACACACACACACACACACACACTCAACTCACACACATAGAAATCGTACACTCGACCCATGCAGTGCAAATTATCAACGATAAGAAAGTTTTGATATTCCACACTAACACATTTCCATCAAACTATTTTAATTATAGCCTTATTAAATATTCTTTTATGTTTGGGTCAGAATTTAGCTAACTCAAATTTACTTTACAATATTACGCTTGTATTTTAAAAATATACAGAGAAATAGGGAAAAAAATATTAAAGTCTCTCGATGTTTCTGTTAACAACGCACTTACATAGCACCGTTTACGTCAGATTCAAAAATATATCAAAAATTTTTATTAAAACAGCCATTGTACATTTGCAACATGCCGCTGCAATATTTAATTAAAATTAAATTTGTTCGCTGTTTATTCGGAAAAAAAATATTAACAAATATTACACGACTCAGAATTTTTTCCGAATAAAATCTTTTCTCTAATTTTTCCAAATATTTCACGAGATCGTGCTCGTCGGTATTTACGATTGCGGCTCGTGAACCCAGTTTTTCATCGTCGCGAACTGCAAACTGTCGGCACCGGTGTGTCGGATGAATAAGAGCGCAAACTCACGGTGAGAAAGTTTATCCTTTTACTCGAAGTTCTGTCATTCGTTAATCGCCTCCGCAGGATCATATTGAAACCAAAAATACCGTCGACCCGGAAAATCGGTCGCGATCAGACCTTTGTCGGTCGGAAGCATCGAACAATTTGCCGCTGCGATTAGCCGTCTAGAAATCGCCTTCCAGAAAAATGGAAAATCCACGGTAAACTTTTCCACGTAGACTAATCTTACTCCTAATTGAATTTCTTTGGACTCCTGTCTGGGAGATGCGCAGAGAAGTCTCGATAGTTATAGATTTCCGCGGCGAAAGAAAGGGCAGCATCCGCGAAAAGAAATCGATATCCGAATGGAGGGAGGAAATGGGAGATAGTTGCAGAGAGAAGAAAAAAAACCGGCGTGAGAAGATTCTATTCGCGTCCGTCTACAAGGCGAACTTTGGCGATTTAAATTCCACCTGGTTGGATTGCTCTGATAGTAACTTCCTTTCGGTATTAAATCCTCTCGATATTCGATATCTACTTTCAGTTAAACTCTGATTTCGCAAAACGTGTTAAGAAACGATTGAATTGAAGTTACTTACAATTTAATATTTTTTATGTATTCACGACCTAATTCACGAATATTTATTGAAAACATTCTATGTCGATTCTAAATGTCAAATTCTAAAAGATACGAGAAAAATAAAAAAGAATGTTTATCTTTCTTGATAAGACCAATAATTTTAGCTAATGATATTATTGTCTCTTATCTAAGATTCTCTCGATATTCGATATCTATTTCTAGTTAAACCGTGATTTCACAAAACGTCTTCAGAAACTATTGAATTTAAGTTACTTGCAATTTAATATTTTCTATCTATTCACGATCTAAACAGAAATGTTTATTGAAAATGTTCCATGTCGAAATGCCTAATTCTTAAAGATGCGAGAAAGATAAGAGAACGTTTTTCTTGATAAAATAAATAATTTTATTTTTCATAATTATTTGTTATTGTCTTAGATAATTCTATTAACATTACTTCAATTGCGCCTGTGCAGTCTATTAAGAGAATCCACATTTATAGTATAATTGTTACATATATATATATATATATACACACACACACACATACGCCCTACGTATAAAAACCATCGGGTATTGCTCTCAAGTTTGCCATGTAGATGAGCTGTCAGTCGTAAAAGTTTATCACAATTTCAAAAGTATAACGCTCGTATATATCTACAATCTGCGCGCGGACGAGAGTGTAGATCGCAAAATGTCGAAAAGTCGAAACGCCGAACGCTCTAACGGTAACGATTTCGGTAGCACTCGTGTCAAATGTTCTGGCAGCTGTTCGACCAAAGCGTTTCGCTATTGGCAAACGATAATCACGTTTCACGAGCAGTCACGCGCGATATATTCATTCCTGCACTGCGTTTTGAGATTATTCGATTTCAGCATTGCGCGAGAGAAGGCTCGTCCGTTTCTGTAATTTTCCCATGTTTATAGCACATAAAATCCAAATCCGCAAAAGCAGAGAGAACTATATAGGCCTTTTTCCGAAAGAAAACTTGAGTTAAAATTGTATAATTTCGTGTAATTTCTACAGTAACGAGTTGTGAAATTATTTAAAAAATCAGAATAGTATCATAGGAAGATATAATCTTAATTTTAATTTAACAGGGATTAAGAGATTTTTCGCGGCTAAAGAATAAACACAATTTTCGAAAAACTTTCTATAAATTACAATTATTAACGAGAAATTTTTAATATTTTAATCCGAGAAATTATTAAAAAATCAAAATAGAATCACGGAAAGATATTATCTCAATTTTAATTTAACAAGGAGGCGTTTAAGAGATTTTTTGTAAATAAAAAGTAAACATAATTTTTAAAAATTCTCTATAAATACAATTATTATAACGAGAAATTATTTCTAAATTTTTTAAACTAGTAAAATTTTTAAGTTAAATTATGTAGAAAACACGTATAAGGATTATAGTATGCGTTAAAATAAAGCGTTATAATAATATAATTTATTATCTCAACTACGAGCCATTCTTGATATTCTAGAAGCTAATCCTTTATTCGTTTTCACACTATACGCGTGGCTTTATGATTTCCGCTAAAAATTCAAGTGCGTTTAACGGCCGACAAACGACAATTACAATCTGTGCCCGACCGAAATGTTCGATCGCGTGTGAATTTGCACATATGCGCGGCGCGGAAACGAAAAAAATAAAAATACGCTAAACCTCGCTGCAGTGGAAATGGAGTCGCGATAAAAATCATTAACCCGACAACCGAGATTCGTGCCCGGGATTCGAATTAGCACGACAAATTTGTGACGTTCATCGAAAAGCATTGAGAGATAAAAATGATATGCTATACTTTTAAAAAAAGATAATAAAAATATAACGAGATAAAAAAAGAGCAAATGAGAGAGCCATTGGCTACATTTAGCAGAAAAAGCAGCTTTGTAATCGTTGCAGATTTTTTTTTTAATATAATTGGTTTATAATTTAGTTTAACCGTCCCATGTCCGGATATTCACACAAAACTTTATTGTATATATTCGTTTATATTATTATTAATCTCAAATGCTTTTTAAAATGTAATATTATGATTTCAATTGTAGCCTTTAAATAGAATTAATCATAATATTGTAATAAAAAAGGGGTTTGAGATTAATAATAATAATTTTATTATTCAAATAATTTTGTAAATTTTGTATAAATATTATATTCAGATATAAGTGCGTGTCTGGAGACGTTTAGCTTAGAGCGTGTTCAGATCCCCACCCAGGTGTTCCCAGGTGTCATCCTTGTTTAACGTTCGGTAAACAGCAAGGATGGAGTGATATCTAAACATAGCCTTATGGTTAGAACCAGTAAGGAACTAAGGGTAGAACCAATTATATTAAAAAATTTTGTAACACTTACAAAACTGCTTTTTCGGTTAAACGCCAATCATTTTATATCAAATTTGATTTAATCTAAAATTTGATGCATTATCGTTCTAATAATAACATAAAAATTTTAGATTACTGGTTTTCAAAATATCGATTGCAAATTGTTATTTTGCGAATCTTCGTCTCAAATTTTCTTCGAATTTGGCATTTTAGGAATCTGAATGCAACCTATTGCAAAGCGTCTGTCTCACATCGCGACGGAATTTGCGTACCACGATCGACCACATGCGAGATGAGCAATCTCGCGTTCCGAGATTGCTCGATTATTTAACTAGCGAGACAAAGGAAGGGCGCCGGCATACCGTCGATTCGAATCCAATCGTGGTACGACCGCTGGAGATTAACCAATTTCGAGGCCGATGCGTGAATTCGGTGCAGTGAGGGGTTTCTGCACTGTTTGTGACACGCGGAAAATTACAAATTATCACAGGAATTGTCACAGGAATATGATGCACATATTTGCTCCAATTTGAGCGTTGCAGGAATTTTACAGAAATTACATATAAAATATGAGCGAGTGATGAGTCCATTAAAGATAACTATCTTAAATGGTCGGACTTTGAAAACATAAATCGATTTGATTGAATAAACAAGCGAATTCAAAAGCGCCGATATAATTATCTTTTTCTTATTATATAGACTAAAATTTAATTATTCTCCCGATGTTATGCTGTACATGGTAAAAATATTCTTCTTAAATACCTAAATAATTATATCAGCATTATATTTCACGTACAGCATTTATAAATATAAAAATATAATAAATTATTAAATACAAGTAAATTATTTTGCAAAGATTATTCAATGGAATAGAGAACGAGATATTTTATACACATATATTAATAACATTTTAACATTCAATGTCTATTTAAAATGTTTGAGCATATCTAAACAGTTTGGATATGAAACATTTCGCATTCGAATTTTTCCACACGCTACCATGATTACATTTGCCAATCGAGTTAAATCAAACAACGCAGACCATGTGTCTAAACGCGATCGCGCAAAACAAGAATAACAAATGTCCCATGTTTCGGTATTCCAGATTGCTCGAAACACGTGCAACGTATAGCAGCTACCGCGTCGAAAGAACGTAATTAACTCTGTCATCGTCCGAACGCAATCTCGCGTAGCAACCATATCGATCGCTGGCCGTGATGAAATTATTGAAGACCGCGTGACGAATCCACGAATCGTGCGCGAATACAGGCTGGCTTCAAAAACAGATCCTCCATCGAAATCATACGATTTCCATAATTTACAATATTTTAATATCATTTTAACGACTTTTTTTTATCATTATAGTTATTGAAGGAAATATAATTACTAATTTCAGTAAAAAGACAAAGAGCTTGAAAAAAATTTTGATTTCCAAGATTAATCAATGTATAAATTTTACATCAAATTTCAATTTTATCATGCCATCGGAAGCGTATGTAGTTGTCTGTATCATAATCACATGATTTATGCTTACTTAGAATACACAGGTACCGAAATACGTGATACCGGCAAGTTAGGTTGGGTAACGTCCAATCGTAAATATTAGGAATGCATTTCGTGTCAGCTTGATTTAATTACCTCGTTTAACGGTGTTTACGTGTGACATGGGGTATGAATAAGGTTTCTCTGATGCACATGAGTACAAGCAATTAATCGATGACAATTAATAGGTTATTATGAAATTACTATCGTCAATCAGATATGTGACTTGTAAACAATGTTAAATGCAAAAGCAACTGTAAGCACACAAGGAATATTTCAATAAAATTATGCAAATATTATCTAAAAATCTCTTGCTTACCGCTTTCGAATTTTACAAGTTTACGCATAATAATGTTATGAATAATAATATTATGAATTACTATTAAATAAACGAACAGTTTTAATTTTTTCTTAACAAGAGACAACGAGATTCAGTTTCTTATTCAATGTAATAAATAAATTACAATTACTAATAAAATCAATTATAATAAAAATATAGGGCCTTAAGGGCCGAGATAAGATTAATAAGGCACAAAAATAGTAACACAAGCAGGGGTCTCTTCGTGGGCAAGCGTGCTAAACAGCTCGGCTTGCGAACGAGGGATCACCAGTTCGAATCCCGGGCAGACTTCTCTCAGTTTTTCCGTCTCCAGTTCCAGAGGAAGAAGAGAGGGGGGGGCACCCTTCCTCTATACCTGATGTTTCAACGCCGCTCCGCCGCTCCTCAGCAAGGGGGAAGCCATCAGAGAAGAATATCGGTAGCCAAAAAACCGTAAGCCAGTGAATTGCGATTTCGGAGTTTTAGCTAGTAATTTCCTCCGAGTACGGTGGGTGAAGAGCTCCTCTGGCAATG